TTCCACATATTGGAAAGGACTCCTATTCCATGGGCTCAAACGTTTATTAATCACCTACTGATCTGCTAGGCAGTACTCTCCAGAATGTGTCTGATATATTTTCCTAGTGTTACCTTCATGAAGAAGCCTGGGGTGTGATATTCATTCAGCTCAGTACACAGGTGGCTGCCCAGGGCTCTTGCACTAGTCCCAGTATTCTCCTGAGTTTCCCACCAAGCCTCTTACCCAGTTCCATCACCTCCAGCCTCCTGGGGAGTGACATTAGCTGCAGCAACAGCAGGTGGGTGACTGCTGAGCCCAAGGGCAGCTGCACATCTCCAGGGTTTATTTAAGAAAACCTGCGTGTGACCTGTCTCTGCTAACAGTGGTTCTGGAACAGATCTTCGGTATTTGTATAGATTGCTGAAGATGAATTACCATCTGCCTTGGCTTTAAATTAACGGGGGCAGTTCTAACCCAGAGAGAATGGGGGAGCCAGGAAAATGGAGTTGATTTTGAGCTTATTTCCATTTTGAAAGGCATTTAGAAGAAGTAAGGGGGTTACAGGAGGGGTGTGTTCTGTGAACCATGAAGTAAAAGGAAGGAATTGACTGTAAAACTGAGGGTTTGGTGAGAAATTATTCTTCGGAAGTGCTGCCTCTGCTGTCACTCTTGGTAGAAAAGTGCAATTGGAGGCATAAGTGCCCTACATTTCCTTGTTTGACAGGGACTATCAAAATGTTTCAGGAAATGTTTTCATATTCATGATTTTTATTTTCAAGAGATATCTTAATTTTCTTTTCTGTGTGTGCACACAATGTCAACTTCAAAGTTATAAGATTAAAAGCAGGCCTGACTACTTCAAGTTCAAGTTGATTAAAATTGAACTTCATGTTCAAATGACTACAAATCTGTGCTTCTGCCTATATTCCTGAGCTCAATCACTTGCTCATCCAATTCAACCTGCTTGCCTGGAAAAATGCCCGAGACTCCTCTAATTCTCTCACAGCCTACRGCAAAGCTATGACTGATCTTGCTGTTGATTTTCTATTTCAAATAGACATTGAGCAAAAGAGGGAAATGTAAAAAACAGCTCCTGACACCCAGGGCTGGCCTCGATGTTATTAGGAGCTAATCTAACTCTAACAACTGGCCGTGTTGTCTCCTTGGATATAACAATCTCACAGAACATCAGCACCTAACAAGGTCACTGAGACCATGACAAAGTAACACAAAGACAAAATTACTGTGAAACCTATAAAATACCACACACTTACATCTCCCTGAAGTGAGTAACTACTGCTGTTTGACCAATTACCAGCTTTATCTTGGCTCTGGTTTGCCCTCCCCATAGGTAGATACCCAGCTGTAGAATTGCACCCACTTTCTGACAGCATCCAAGTTAGATTGCACCCCCACTTCTTTAGTCTCTCCCCATAGTCACCCATCCAAAGTCCAGATTTTCTGACAGTTCCTCTCTGACACCTTGTTAGTGAGCCGCCTTCTGGATCTCTTGGTATGTGTTTCTTCTTCTTGAAAAGAATAATAAGCACACTGGTTCACCTGCATTGATGTGCTCTGGTGGACTTGGGCTGTGGAGTATTGACGCCATTCTCTCCTTGCCATTTTTAGTTGAATTTCGTCCTTCATCCTCACTAGCCTACAATTCTGCAGCAACAATGTCGTGTATATTCTAGGTTCTTCCTCTCCCATTCTTCTTTCATGCGGCCTTGTGATTATCTCCTCTGCCCCCACCAGTGAATTGCATAAGGCTTTATTTATCAAACATGGGGCACAGAATATGATATATTGACAATATCAACTCCTAACCAGGCATGGTGCAGTGCATACGTAAACCCAGCAAATTATGAGTTCAAGGCCAACCTAGGCTACTTAGGGAGACTCTGTCTCAACAATTTAAAAGGCTGGGGATGTGGCAAGTGGTAGAGTGTCTCTGGGTTCAATCCCCTGTATTGCAACAAACAAACAAAAACAGACAATATAAACTCCTAGATATATTAGGTGTCTTGACTGATGTGGTTTTTTTTACAACTACAAATATTCCTCTACATATTACATCTACTTTAAAAATACAATTCATACTATCTTTCATATACACAAAATTCTTATAATCAGGATTAGATAAATATTCCTCTATATTATGTGGCTGACTGAGTGTGTAGCCATGAAATTCACAGATGTTTAAATGCCCAATAAACACAAGATAATATATTCAACATTACTAAGCAAAGTGAATAAATAAATAAAAAGTTGAAATAAACATTAGATGTATTAAATGTTTTTTTTTTTTTAACTTTTCAGAGTGGCAAAGGTTTCAATGAATACAATCCCAGAATAAAATTTGAAGGAACCCCATAGGAGGCTATCTGGCTATAATAGTTTCTAGGGTTACAGTAACAGTGCCACAAACAGTGTGGCTTAAAACAACAGAAATGTGTTGTCTCAGTTCTAGAGGATGGATGTCTGAAATCAAGGCATCTGCAGGACCATCCTCCCTCCAAAAAACGTGCGGGAAGGGTTGATCCTTTCTTGCTCTCTCCTAGCTCTGTTGATGGCTGTCCATCTTTGGTGTTCCCACTCTGAAGCTCCATCACTCCATTCTCAGCCTGTGTCCTCACATGGAGCTCTCCCTATGTCTCCTTTCAAATTTTCCTCTTAGAAGAATAATAATAATCTTCAAAAATGGCAATTTGATATGGATTAATCTAACATAGGTGGGACAAAGATTTGCTAACAACATTGAACAGAATCAGAGACTCAATTTGCCACATATTTTAGGAAATCTCAATATACATTATGAAGTCCAGCTGGGCATGGTGGCTGTAATCCCAGTGACTTAGGAGGCTGAGGCAGGAAGATTGTAAGTTCAAAGCCAGCCTTAGCAATTTAGCAAGGCCTTAARCAACTTAGTGAGACCCTGTCTCAAAAAAATAAAATAAAATAAAAGGGGCTGAGAATGTGGATCAATGGTTAAGCACCCCAGAGTTCAATCCCCAGTACCCCCCCCAAAAAAAGTCCAAATTTACATTTCATTCTTTCCAAATTTCTTGCTTTCTCTCTAGATGGTATCAAGATATTAGATTTGAAATTGGAGGACAGTGGAAAGACTTCATGGGATGTTTAGGCCTAAGCTGTGTGTTTGGCTCAGGTTCACTGAAGGATTCTGGTTGGAGACTCTATGCAAGCAATAACTCTCCTTGCTCTAGCCACAGGGGGTGACTGACAACAAGGTTTCCCTCAATAGATTCCTGTTGCCTTTAAGATAAAATTTCCAGCTGTAGTGGGTGACAGGCAAAGCTGGCTTTCACTGGGACCTCATTTCCCACCACCCCAACTCTACTGTGGCAGAGAGAGACAGTGTTGACCAACTCAGATTCACGCTGCTCTTCCAGAATGCAGAGTTGTCCTGGGAAAAGGCTCTGGCCAGGAACCCTATTTCTCAGTGCTTCTAGATGGGACCATGGACTAGGGTTTGAATGCGTCCCATAAAAGTTCACATGTTGGAGACTTAATTCCTGAATGAGGCTGTGTTGGGAGGTGGAGCCTAGTGGGAGGTGTTGAGGTCATGAGGGCGGAGCCTTTGTGAATGGAWTCATGCCTTTCTGAGCGGGATAATGCTCACAGTAAGCCAGTTCCTCCTCTGCAGGGACTGTATTATTTACATGAGAGTGGTTTGTTATAAAGCAAGGCTGTCTCTCATGGTTTGGCTCTTTCAGATGTGCCCACTTGCTCTCTGGATTTCTGCCATAAGTTGCAGCAGCCTGAGGCCCTCACCAGAAACTGAGCAGATACTGGGGCCATATTCTTGGACTTCCTGGCCTCCAGTACCATGAACCGAAATAAACCTCTGTTCTTTATAAATCATCCTGTCTGTCTCAGGTATTCTATTTCAGCGACAGAAAACAGATTACGATACCAAGTAACTAGCTCTGACCAGTAAAACGCCAGTTTGATCTTGTGTCAGCACACAGAGGCCTAATACCACACTCTTTCTCTTCCCTCTGTCTGCTGGCTAGATGTGACCAGAGTGACCCTTGAAGTCACAGACTAAATTAAGCTGCATCTCAGAGTCACCATTTACAAGAAAAAGGTCCTGAAGACTTTCCAGAGCAAGAATTTCTGCACTGGACCTGGTATGAATGAGACACCACTGAGAATTGGGGTGGTTTGTTATAACTGCACAGCCTCAACCCACCTTAACACAATTACATTATGAATCAAGCTGTTTCCTCTTTTTATCAAGTTGTTTACCTTGACCTGGCCTAGCAGTCTTTATTCTCTCTACCTAGAATCCCTTCTCCCTTTTCTATTTAACTACAAAACTCAGATTGAGTGAAGGCTATTCCGAGATCATCTCAGACTTCTTCGGGCTGTTGGCTTCTGCCTCCTTCCTACTCTATCTGTGCTTTGTACCATCGCCCCTTGTCAAAGCAGGATGGATGATATAATTATCTTCTTAAAAGGTTGTGGGCACTTTAAATAAATGCAGGCATCCAGTCTTATTCTTGATGCTTTGAGCACYTGCAATAGTGCCTGGCCCGTGAGAGTCCTCCCTACATAGATTTTGGATTCGTCAAAGCACATTGGGTATGTGAGGGGCTCTGTGGTTTTGTCCCTTACTCAGCTGATTGTGCCAGATGGATCAGAGGGGCTGAGTTGCTGCAGATATATCCAGCTGGCTCGGCGCTACTCTTAAAATCAGTAAAGCACTTAAAAGAAATGCCTGGAGTAAAGAAATGGGTCCTTACCATTCATCTTTTGCTATTCAGTGAAGGTTACAGAAAAATGAAATGTTCTCATTTGCAGAATCTGTGTTTTTAACAGCTGCAGATCATGCTTAATATGTGCTTTGCTTGCAAGACATTGGAAATTTGGATCTTTCCCAGAGTTCTGGTTAGAAAATTGCCAGCATTCTTTTTTTTTTTTTTTTTTTTTTGATTTTTTTTTTCCAACAGGGGAAAGGAACAACAAATGGATAAAAAAAAAAAAATCAGTTCACATGAAATGGGAGGTGCTTTCATGGGAATGTTTTATTGTCTCTTCCCGAGTTTCTAACATAGCTTATCGAGTAGGAACACTGCTTTTGTACAAAGGGAATACTGTCAGTTGTGTGGGATCCTGTTCCTCCGTCAAGCCCCTCAGGCTTTGGGGTTGCTGACTACTGCGGTGGTGGAGTAAGAGTAGGGGCTGAGCAGAGCGGCGATGGTGTAGTGACGGTGGCCAGAGTCGTTCGCTGTGAACACCACCTGGGGAGAGGACAGACAGAGCTGTTTGTAACAAGAGCCCAGAAGTGTGAGGCACAGTCAGGGGGATCATTGGAAATCCAGTGCAAAATTAATTATTTTTATTTTATTATCTCATTTTGGGGGAACAATTAGAACAAAAAGCAAAAATTCAAATACCCTGGAAGATTAAGCCTCTGGAGTCTTGTGCAGTTCTCAGAAATGCCCTTCAATAGGTGAATGGATAAAGAAACTGTGGTATATATACACCATGGAATATTACTCAGCATTAGAAGAGAATAAAATCATGGCATTTGCAGGTAAATGGATGGAGTTGGAGAATATCTTGCTAAGTGAAGTTAGCCAATCCCCCMAAAAACAAAGGCYGAATGTTCTCTCTGGTAAGTGGATGCTGATCCATAATGGGGATGGGGGGGAAGCATGAAAGGAATGGAGGAACTTGAAATAGGGCAAAGGGGAGGGGAAGGGAGGGAACATGGGGGTAGAAAAGACCGTGAAATGAGATGGACATCATTACCCTAAGTACATGTATAAAGACACTTAAGGTGTGACTCTACTTTGTGTACAACCAGAGAAGTGAAAAATTGTGCTCCATATGTGTGCTATGAATTGAAATGCATTCTKCTGTCATGTATAACAAATCAGAAGAAAGTAAGTAAGTTTTTTACTGCCTGCATGATGAGTCTCTTGTTTTGCAATTCACCCCATAGTCTGGATGGCCCTCACCTGACTGAGGGGAGTCACAGCCTAACATCTCTTATCCATTTTCTTGGCTTCAGAAAAAAGGTGAGGAGAAGGTGAACACCAGCATCCAGACACTAGAGACCGGCTGAGAAGGTTGACTAACAGTCCTACTTTGAGAACTAGAAATTTGGATTGGGAGGAACTGTTTTTCCCGTTTTACAGATAAGAAAACCAGACTTCTGAATTAGTTTACCCAAGTTCATAAAATGACAGAGCCCCACCAGGAAGGCAAGTCTCATGTCTCCAAACCCAGAGATTTTCTTTGTATTTAGCTTAGAAATTTAGATTCTACCCCCTCCCAGGGAAAAGGAACAAGTATATGTATATACCAAGGAATGGAATATGAACTAAAAGAATTCTACTTATAATAGAATCATAGAATTATAGAATTCTACTTATAATACAAAGAGATTGTGKAAAAGCCTATTGGAATTCTGAAATGTGTACGAATGCTTTTGAGCTTTCTGACTGGGCCGACTAGATCAAAGTGCTGTTGTAATTCATTAGTCACACTTCTCAAAGTCACTGGAGTAGGTGGCCTAGGCGACAGGAGGGAGGGAGGTGGGGGTTGATTTGATTGAGGAGAAAGCTGGAGGGCAGTAATGGGGTATTTAATTTTATTTATTTTTGTATGCAGGCCCTGGGTTGAGTGTTTAATAGACTTTTTGTCCCAATCAAAGAAGACTGGAAGACTTAGGGACAGGAGGAAAAAAAATGTCTGAGTGAACCATACCAAACATAAAAAGAACATTCAGGCAAAAGGAGGTGAGAATCTCCTAAGAATCTTCTTCTGAAGAAGAGAGGGACTCCTTCAGGTTCACCCTGGAAGCAACTAGGGAAAGTTTCCTAACTTTTTTGGTGACAATAGCCTCTGGCTCTGTCTCCCTTAAAATTGTAAAAGGCATAGTCTTGTAATCAAAAATCCATGAAGTGAAGAGGCATATTAGTTCCATAGGAAATTTTCTAATTCTCCTTGGTAAGTCTAATATGGCTACCTGGATCACTGGCCAGGAGGAGAGGACCAGTGACCTCTGAAGGGCGGTGAGTCTCTGGGAGGTGCTKATCTGCAGGAATGGAGCTCATGGCTGAAGGCCCTGTGCACTGTCCCTGGAGTGAGGTGTGAGGGACACATGCTTCACTACTCTCTTTCCCTCTCGCTCCCCTTATTCTTTCAGGTTCCAAACTAGGCTTATGACTCTTCCTACTATGTCTAATATCATCCACTTCCCTTCCATTCCAAGAGCAGGGGTGTGTTTTCATTTCCAAATCTCTAGTATCTCAACACATACAGGATTCTATTTTTCAAATATTTGTTGAATGATCRTTCAAGAGTGAATAGTAGCTGATCTCTATTGAATAGGAGCAGCCCTTTCGTGGACTGTATAGTGGTAAACCTTTTCAGATGGTCCCCTCAGGCTGTGACCCAGGATGGACAAGGGGCCCAGGGAGGCTAATCCAGTGCTGAAGGGTAGGGCTGAGAGCCTCCTGTGCTGTGCCCAAGCTGATCCCTGCACTCCCCTGTTCAAAACTCTTGTCTTGCTGCCTGGCTGAGGAGTAGCCAGAGACACACTTCCTGGTAGAGGGGACTCGCTTGGTGACTTGTGGGCCCCAGAAGTCAAACAGTCACCCACAGTTTCCTTGGTAACACTGTCTGCTAAAAGAACTGTTCTATGCTAATTGAAATTCTCAACCATGACTAAGCCACAGAGAATGGTTGCCTTTCATGCTGAGCTATTTTCGATGGAATTACTTGATCTTTAACTCTGACCAACAAATCTGGATTCTATTTCCATGACAGCCATCTGTTTTAAATGACTTATGGAGTTCAGTCAAGGAGGAGGCAGGGAGACTGGGCCCATGGATAACTGCTGGTAGATCCTTACCTCATAAGGAAAAGAGGAGAATGAACCAAAGTTTACAAATATGGCTTCTTCTTCTTCTTCTTCTTTTTTTTTTTTTTTTTTTTTAACTTGGCTTCTCACAGGAAAAAGGCTTCCTGAGGCAGTGTGAGGACATCAGCACTGAGGCCAAACCCAGCCTAGCCCCTGCTGGTAAACAGGCCTGCTCCTCCACTTACTAGCCATGTGACTTCTGATGAGTCATGTAACCTCCCATGCTCCGCTTTTATCTGGGATGTGAGGATAATTGGACTAACCTCAGTGGGTTGGTCATGAGGTTGAGCTAGGTTARTAGAAAACACCCTGGCGCCTGACACGTGATGTACACTTAGTGATTTTTATCTATTGTGTTGCCATTATTAGTTTGGATTTATTGTCTTTCTATGCATTGCCAAGAATGGCTTATTCAAACCTCTGGGGAGCCAGATGTGTTTTGAATACAGCATTTCCCAGCTTTTAAGAGAAATAAAATGGTGCATCCTTTCTTCTGTTACCTAACACCTTAAGTGAGGACGGGAGGGCTGCCTCATCATGAAACATTAATAATTCTTCGGCAAATAAACAAATGTTCACATGAGATGGGATGAATAGACCACCACAGTGTTTCAGAAGTTTATGCTGCCAAATGAGTTTTCACCAAACTCAGAACAGGGTTGGCTTCTCAGAGTGTGGATTTCTGATGGTAACATGGGCAAGGGAACCTGTGGTCATTCAGAACTTTCCTTATGACACTTAAAGAAAGTATACTTACTTCCATGGTATGATAAGTGCAAACTGTGCATATCCTGGAGCTTAAAAAAAAAATCCCAAACAACTCCAGGGTCTGTGTACTCACCTCTGCATATTCATGGAACGGAGAAATGCCAAGTGTCTTCCAGTAGGATTTGGTGTCTAATTCCACCCTGTAGAGCCCTTCTACAAACTTTTCGTCTGTTGTGAGCCCATGTAGCTCTCCGTTTTCACCGGTCTTCCTATAAGGTACATAAGTCTAGGTTAAGTTAGGCATGAAGGGAGTAAATGGCCCAGCAAAATGGTACCACACACATATGTGTGTGTATGTATGTATTTGTGTGTGATATGTACACATATGTATGTGTGATATTTTATATATATATATATTTCCCCCTTCAACCAAACTAGTAACTCTCTGAAATCAAGTGGCAAGAAATTTTTTGAAACTTACCAAATATCTCATTGTAGATTTTTGTTCTTATAAGAACAAAATACAGGTATAATGTTAATTTAAAAAGTCTTAGATCCGGGGAAGTAGTTCAGTGGTAGAACACTCGCCTAGCATGTGTGAGGCTCTGATTCTATCCTCAGAGCAACAACAACAACCACAACAATAAAATCTTGGGATTCATGGTTGGTGATTGGATGAAAGTTCAGGACACACCCTGGAAGTGGCCATAAGGAACTCTCCTGTTCCCCAGGACCATAGGTATCACTTTTGTCCCCACTGGCATGTGGCTGCCTTTCAGAGAGTACTATTTGTTCACACTGTGGGAAATCTAAAATACAAAGAAGAGCCTATATTGACTCTTGTTTCTTTTATACGATTGATCTCTTCGGTATTTCTTTGCCAAAACAAATACTAGGGAAATTCTATTTCTACTTAGGTACCAGCTCAATCATTGAAATGTTAGAAATGGCTCCCAGTTAGACTACACACCTAAGACAGATAAAAATGGAAGTCGTCTTTAGTGATTTTGATTATGACTGCCCCTGTTTTTACTTTTCAGTTCCTTTTTTATGTGTTGTGTGTGTGTGTCTTGGTATAGGAACATCTGAATACTTTTGGTGTCCAGTCTATCTCCCATGTAGAATATCTCCCATGTTGGGCTTGGCATTTTACATAAACATGAGTGAGTTAAAAAATAAAATCTCAATTAAAACTGCATGAGGGAAATGATCTTCCTAATGATGGATGAAGAAGATTCATAAAGTAGTTCTTGGGAWTCAATTAAAACCCAACAGAAATTCTTCTCCAGGAGATGAAATACTTCAGAGCTTCTTTTCTGCTTGGTGATGAGGGTTTCTTAGTGATGCTTCCTTTGGTTAGTTTGTTTAGGTTTACTAATATGGATTTCATTTGAAATTCTTGCTAGTGGAGGTAGAAAAGCTCTATGAAAATGGTAAAGTGGTTAATAAAAGGTGAGAAGTCATTTTTCCATACTGATGGGTGATGGAGAGATTAGTCTGTGGCTAGAATTTGCCTTACATGTCCTTCTCCTAGATGTTGTTTTTTAAATTAAGCTTGACAATAGCCAGTTTTGTACATAATAGGTACAAAAGCCCTGGATTCTATAAAACTCCACCTAGGTGTCCCCTTAATGCTCTTTCTAAATTCCTTTCTTTTCATTGATAAACTAACACACATTGTCCATCATGCTTAAAATTTTAAGAATTTTCCCAACATGGATGTCACTTTAGGGAACCTTAGATTCACCTTAGGAATCTGTGCAAATCCTGAAATTCTATGTATATCTCTGTATAGTGTGTTTATTGTGCATTTTTCTGGGAATGGAGTCTATAGTTTTTTCACTTTCTTCAAGTAGTCTGTGACCTGAAAAGTTTGACTCCTGCTAGAGTAGAGGAGTTACTCACTCCATCTTTTTCTTTTTCTTATCATCAGCCCTAAATGATGCTCTGGTCACTTCCAGCTAAGCAAAGCAAGAGGACATCCTTTTCAGGCCATATTTTGTCTACATTTTCAATCTATTCATAGAGTTTTTTTTTTTTGGGGGGGGGGGAGGGTGCCAGAGATTGCGCTCAGGGACACTGGACCACTGAGCCCCATACCCGCACCCCTATGTATTTTATTTAGAGACAGGGTCTCACTGAGTTGCTTAGCACCTTGCTTTTGCTGAGGCTGACTTTGAACTTGCCATCCTCCTGTCTCAGCCTCCCAAGCCACTAGGATTACAGGTGTGTGCCACTGCNGGGGGGGGGGGAAGGGGTACCAGGGATTGAACCCAGAAACGTTTAACCATCGAGCCACATCCCCAACCCTATTTAATGTTTTATTTTGAGACAGGATCTTGGTCAATTGCTTAGGCTTTGCTAAGTTGCCAAGGCTGGGTTTGAACTCACAATCCTCCTGCCTCCGCTTCCAAGCCACTGGGTACTTGTAGGTTCTTTAGCTGGTGATGGAAAAAGTGGAAAGGTTGAACCAAATCCCATGGCAGGGTTCTCTGTCAGCTTACCCAGAGGCAAATGGCTCCCAGGTGCCATCAGCCGCCTTTTTGAACACTTTCACAGACACCTCCACAGCAGGACTCCCTCGMACTGCATCTAGGACTTTGACCATCAGAGGACACTTGGTTTCACCAGTGCCCTGAAAGACATGTGAGAAGTCAACAAAATTACCCAGAATGAAAGGACTTATTCTTTATGGTGTTGGAAATCCACAACAAAGCCGGAAATACATGCTGATCYAATTACCAGTAACATAAGTGTTGACAATTAATGAGCTTTCCCACTCAGTATATTACAGGCATAATTGTTTCCAAAGCAAGATTGGTTTCTGCCTCCAGACACACTGCTATCRACCAGGGACGTGCATAATGAATTTTCAAGGAGAAAATGGGCCCTCTGAGAATGGTTGCTTTGTTCAGCCTCTCCATTTGAGTGAAATACTGAAAAGATGCAATGTGTCATAGGACTGAATAGTTTTTCCTGAGGTCGTTTTAATAAGTGGTTGCTATAGTAATTCCCTCTTACTATCTTTTGTCAAATAATGTCAGAGTACTTCCTGGCCCCTTTGGTAGTATTAGTTAATTCTTCCAGAGGATTTAAGAGTCAGATATCTGACTGGAATATTGTTCACCAAACAAACATTAATCAATCCATAAACACACTCGGATTAGCCAAAGGGCCAGAGTATAATCTCTGTAGTTTGCCCCCTAACTATATTTATAAAGGGATGCTTTTAGGAAAATTCAATATTATCAGCTTCATTAAGATGATATCTTTATTTCTATYATGTGTCTGAGGACAGTGGTGTGCTAGGCATTGAGACTTAATGCACTAAAGCAACAGAGTAAAGAACACAACAGAGAAAAAAGCCCTAAGCTGTTTTTGAAGTTCAAATCAATGATATTAAATGTAGGTGCTGAGTACCCTTGCCCTAGTAACACAAACTGGTTGTTAAAGCTGGAAGAAGTCACTTCTATTTAATCTAATTTACATCTGCAATGTCCAAAAGGGACTTGACAGAATTAACACTCACCACGGGGTCAGCTTCAGACACAAATACCAGTCCAGCGAGGCAGAGGAGGAGTAGATGGTGAGAAGCCATCCTGCCAGGACCCAGTGGACTTCTGTGATGGCTACTCTTGGTTTGGGGCTTTTATACCCTTTTTTTCCAATCCAGGCTGCTGATCCCTGCCAATCTGACTCTAAACCTGCTGATTCTGATTATTGACTTAGTCAACAAAGGGAGAATAAGTAACCCACACAAATATGAACCTTGTCTACAGAGATTAGAACATCGGAACATTAGCTCTGTGGAATATTCTTAACTGGTCATTTGACTAGTTGGATCACTAAAAACACAACCTAAACAGAGCAAAATTAGCCTCTCCCTGCTTGACTAAAGGAAGCAGCATTGTTGAGATCTTCTACCCCCCCCCCCCACTTTATTTCTGTTCATGTTTCCCATTTGCTATTCATTTTTGTCTTTCATTTTAGATGACAGATGTAATTTGTGATTTTTCTTTTCTTTTCTTTTCTTTTTCTTTTTGGTGTGTGTGTGTGTGTGTGTGTTGAATGACATTAGGTTGCACTGGCTTAAATAATAGTACATTAGAAAACATCATGGCACTAGATATATGTCCATGAGCCAACAAGAAAAACCCTCAGCAGTGCTTCATTCTCAAAAACATGTTTTAGCCAAATAGTCATTTAGTCACTTGGAAGCCCTGCTTAGTGATTTCTCTACATTGTGTGTATATGTGAGGGTGTATTCTTTCCAGATAAGGTTCACCTCAACCCAGGGAATAATAGCATATTTCAATTTGGCATTGATGAGCCTGAAATACAGAGAACCAAATCTTTACTGTGTCTCCTCACTGAACATGGAAGAATAAGGCTACCCAGCTGGCTTCTGTCAGAATTAAAATATCTGGAAGGAGGTAGAGATGATTGTTAGAAATAGAAACTAGTGTTGACAACATCTCTTCCTCCTGGATGACCTACAAGTCTAGGAATTATAATAATTTGATGATTTATTGATAAGTACCAACTCTAGTGTGTATGTGCATGTCTGTGTGGCTTTGTTTATGCATAAATTAAGACAGGTCTTTGTCCTTATAAAGACAAATATATCAGAAATAGAAGACAAACATTTTGGACAAATGCATCTCAAGAGTGAGTCCAGTTTGGAGCACTAGAGTTGGGGGAACATTCCCACAGCTGACAGAGTGCGGTTGGAAATTTAATAAGAAATTATGAAAGGTAAGAGCTTTCAGGGTGTGGGGGAAGGGACAGGAAGGTATTCGAGGAATATGGATGGGTGTAGGAGAYTCCAGGAGAGTGGGTTAACTGTAGCAAAGGAGAACATTAACTAGGGCTGGAATCCTGTAGCCTCAGAGTCTGAAGATGAAGTAGCAGTGGAAAGAGTTTTGAATTTGGAGTTAGAGGCCATGAATCATCAGACTCTAGTTCTGCTACTCAGTTTCCTAGACACTTCAGTGAGTTACTTAGTATCTTAGACATTCAGTTTACTCATTTGTAAAATAAAAACACCTACTTTAAAGGACTGTTCTAGTAACTTTTATATTAGATGATACAAAAGCATTTTATACACTGGAAACCATGTTCCTGCTGTAAAATCACAATTGTAACATGATTTGGTTCAACATCTATGCCTAAGGAGAAAATCCTTYAATATCATGTGTTGTCATCTATTATCCTCTTGATTATTTCCTGTTGCTTAGAACCTGGATAGAGTCTTTTGTTCCTTGACTGCAAATACTAAATCTTCAARAGTTCTTTCACAACCCAGAAATCTTCCACCCATACGTTTAGTACTACACCCTGTAGAAACTAAGAATTGGCTCCTATAGACCTTGTGAACTGGCAACGCTGGGCTGCCACGGGCCCAGAGACACCAGTGTTTCTTGAAACGGTTTGAAATAGTTGCTAAAATTAAAATTGAGATATGTTGCATAAAAATTTGGATTTCTGGCTTGTCTTAAGAAATCAGAAAAGACGGCAGCAGTTGGCCTATATCCACAGGACAGCAACCAGCAGCATCTTGTTCACACACCTTCCTTCATGTCAGAGGCCAGGTAATATTTCCAGTGGCACTGTCATACTTGAGGTTCTTTTAATGCATGTCCTGTTTTCCTTGTCTATGTGTCTGCCCAAACTCTTGAAAATTAGCGTTTGTGATTTTGGGTCTTTCCGTAGCAAGTTAAGTAGTGAATGACAGTTTATTTTCTTTTTGCCAAATAGATATCCCTATTTCTTTGAATGCTTTCTCTTCTGGAATCTTCACCAGAACTTTGTCCTTTGGCATTTTCCCATTAGTCAATGTTCCTCTTCAAATGTGATGCACTAAACTGGATACATCATCCAAATAAGATCAGATCAACTCACAGGACTAGGGTAAAATGTGCACCCTGAGGGCATTACAATTGTAGTTGCTATGACTCACCTCTTCATTATAACACTACCCATTGTGACCCTACGGGTGACAAAGATCTAAAATAACCATGGAGTTTCCATTGTCCTGTGCTTTGCTCATTTTTCCAGTTTAACCTAAATGTGGAATCTCAAGTTTATCTTGGATTTATCTAATCCAGTTAGTTTTAACTTACCACCTCATCCTATTTAATAGTTGATTCTGTCAGTCACTGAGTTAGAGCACCCCCCAAGCCACATGCCCTTGGACACTTCAACTTGCTTGCCTTCTCCACTGCATTGATCTGGAAATCATTAATAAAATTTGAATTTGAACCAGACAAAGAGGTGGAGAGCAAGTGAGGCAATTCAGAGTACAGGAGGATCCCAAATCTGATTGGAAAATCATTGATAAAACATATAGAGATAGAGATTATTTTAATATCAAAAGAAGAAAAAATTTGTGCAGAGGATTGAAGACAAATATAGGTAGGCTGCAGTCAGAGCCAGACAGTTTCTAGAGAGGAAGCATGCATGCTTTAGGTGAGAGAACAAGGCTGAGGCAGGAAGGAAGAATTGAAAAGGAGAGAAGAAGAGCATTCTTTGTCAAAGGGCTGCTTGTGTTAAATAAATAGCAATGACACATACAAGAGAAGTCCATTGCTTCTTGCCTGAGAGGCAGTCTGCGGATGAGAGAGGGTTATGTGGATAAACACAGCCAGTTGAGGTCAAGGGTCACCACATTCCTGGAGTTTTCAGTGGTTGCTGGAGATGCTGTGTGAGCTATGGCGACACTATAGGTAACCAGGATCCAGGGCTGGGAAACCAGAGGAGACTTAGAGCAACACTGGAGCTACAAGTTTATGTCTTCTCCTCCCCATGTACTGTGTTTCTTCACATTATGGCCTTGTGGCTACCATCTAGATGTTTAATAGAGGTGAAGAAGACTAATTTGTTAACAACATTCTTCCTCCTACTTCAGACTATGTGGTGGTTAATGAGCAACTCGGGCCTCTCTTGGTTTAAGATTCTTCTCCCTCTTAATGAACAGCCTCRTTTATTATATATTTTTTTCATATCACAGATAAACCATTTCTCCTTAAYGTGGTTTCTGAGGGTGCATGTCAAACGGCTAGTCAGGGGTCTGTCCACTCGGAGTGTTCTCTAACATTACTGTGAATAAGCCGATTAGCCACATGGCTGGTCAAGTACTTGGACTGGGCCTCCCCAGGTGTGAGGAGGAGGGGGAGGGCAGTGACAGTGTGGGGGCCCTGGATCTTTGTAAGTTAAAGAATTCAATTTTGTCAGCTCCCCTTGAGGTGGATAAGTCCTAAGGGTTTGATTAATGATAAGCAAATCATAAAAGGCTCATTTTAAAACCATAATACCAATTTAATGAATGGTTAGATGGTTGCTAGGGAAGCGAGGAATTGGAGGAAAAGGACCTGGCTAATTTTGTGAAAAGATTTCCTCCAGGCTGTGGGAGAGCCAGAGAAGTTTCCTTACCTCGCTGCAGAGAACATGTTTCCCAGGCTGGGAAGGCTGTGTGTGCCTAATCTCACGTGTCTTTCTTCCACAGAGAGTTACATAAACACTGAAAACATCTTTTCCTTTATGTCCCCTGCCTTCCTGGTTTGCCTACCTATCCAAGCTACAGCCAATATGATTTAGTAATTAGTAAGTTAGACCCCTTTTTATTTTTTAGTAATTATGGTTTCACTCCCGTGGTTGAATTTTAGAAGTCTTCATCCTAGTTGAGTAGCAATTGAGAACYCCCTAGGATGAGAATCTTCCACAACTGACATCTTGCATGCTGCCAGATCTCATATTCAGGGGCCATATTATCAAAAGCAGTGATCTTAGCCCCACTGCTAGCTTGAGAACCTACCCTGTCTCTATCCGGGAGACCCTAATTTGTCTTATATTATTAGCTTAGATGATACCCAATCAAGTCACCCATGCTTTAGTCTACATTTTCAACTGTCTTGGTGATCTTATGTATTTTAAGGACTTTATCCACAAATAGGCATTAGATGCAGTTGGAGTTTTGGATTCTAGAGTCCCTCAAAGTTCACCCACCTACACTGAGGGGGAGAGATGCAGACAGAAAAGGAAGTTCAAGACTATTCTGTCTAGTTGGCCCACTTTCCTTGGGCTTCTTTTTGTCGGGCCCTGCATCTCTCAACCAGCGAATGTGGCAGGGCAGGCTTGAGGGGGTGTGGCACTTAGATGAGCCAATCTGGCTGTGATCTGTGAAGGATAAGCATGAACCACCATGATGGAGAAATGGCAGTGAACCGACAACTTTCCAATCACATCCTTGGGATGCTTTGTAGCTTAGTACCATTTACAAGAAGTCTGCACAGAGGTTTGGATAAAAACTCCAACTAGAATGAAAAAAGATTTGACTGATCTTATCTCCATATCCACTGCTTCCTTAAAATCAGCTGTGCTGATTCTGTGGCCATAAAGTCAGAGTCCAAAATTMCAGATTTAGGTTTTGGCCACTTCTAGTATCTTTTGACTTTGGAAGTATGATTAATAAAGAGATAAGCTAAGTTCAACTAAYAAAAAGAAGCAACCATTGAGCACCTTCTGGATATAAGTCAATGTGTTAGCCACTATGGTGGGAGTTATTGAAAGACATACACCTTAGAGTTGCTTGTAATTTAAATATTAATAAAATATATTTGTCCCATTAAAATG